TCTCTGCGTCTCTCCCGTCCCGTCCTCCGTCGTCCGCGCCCTCTTCCTTACGTCTTGCGTCTTGCGTCACTACGCCCGCGTCTTGCGTCTTGCGACTTGCGTCACTGCGTCCGCAGCCTCTGTGGCTTGTTCGGCGTCTCTTTGTCCTCCCGCTTTGCCTCTTTTTTCCTTCCTCCTTCTCTCCAGTCTCCAGCCACCAATCTCGGTCACCAGATCACCAAGTCACCAATCACCAGCCACAGGTCGCGTTATATTTAACTTATTTAACTTAGGCTTGAGCTGAGAGAGTGGGAGGGGTTCCCTCGGCCCTTAGTTTCCCTTGCACCTCATGCCTTAGCAGTGGACCATTGAGGGTTATGGAAAGACCTTTTTCATCTAACCCAATATTGTCTTATACAATGATGCGGCGCTTCTAAGGTTAGGCCTCTTAAAGGTTCTTAAAGGTTCCCGGTATTCAGCCAGAGAATTGAGTCCTCTTCTTATTCTTATTTGCTCTTATTCACTTATTTACTTTACTTCTCTTTGGTTTTATCTTCTTCTCTTTGTCTCCTTTCTTCCCTTTAGCCTTTTAGCCCTTTAGCTTCCCTCCACCCTGGCTTTGTTGTTCTTTCTTTCTCCTTCCTTCTCTTCCTCAACTTTTTTTTTTCCCTCCTTCCTCCACTACCGCTTTCCAAATTATAGCTTATAGCTTATAGCTTATAGCTTGTAGCTCCGCTGCTTCTATGTTTTGAATTAAGCGCTTTTATATAAAGAGAGTAGATTTTTTAACTTACAGTTCTTCAGTCTTCTTTGTTGTGTTTAAAATGCGGGTGGTCGGCAGTATCCCTGGGTCAGTCCCAGGCCGTCAAACGGAGGTCTGCTTTCCCTTTAGGGGCTGAGTCCGGACCCTTTAGCTGCCTCCTCCTTGAGGGGGGAGACAGCATATGGGCCGTCGGATATACCCCTTGTGGGTTCGCAATCTCACCAGCCTCAATCCGCTGGTGAGCGGGAGCTAGGCTCACCTGAACCTCCGTAAGCTGTGGTTAACGTGAGAGAGCTCTCACAACCACCGTCCTGCCGCCATGAACCCCGCACCGGAAGAATCCCTCTTTGAAGGTGAGAGGGTCAGTATATAAAACCTCGAAATAAAATAAATAAAATAAATAGAATAGCCAAAGGTAAGAGCATAGAGTCCTTCCACACAGCTATATAACCAAGAATATTATGGCAGAAAATCCCACAATATCTGCTTTGAACTGGGTTATCTAAGTCCACACTGCCGGTTCAAAGCAGATAATGTGGGATTTTATTCAGCTGTGTGGGAGAGGTCCAAGTTTGTTCCAAGAAGGACCCTGACCCTCTGAGGTGACACTGGTGCTTTCCCCTCCTCACAGAGTGACCCTCAACCTATCTACGGATCATATCAAAATTCATAATTTTGGGCCTTCAATTTATACTTGAGGTTGATTTATCTATGAGTATATATGGTTGATTCTACCCCCATTTCCACCACAACTACGATAATGTTGAGGGATGGGATTTTCCGTGCAATTGCACATGAACTTCATGATATGATGAGGTTAATAAATAAAATCAAGATGTCTGGATACAATGTTATCAGAAACTTATACCTTCAAAATATAAAGTGATCTTTTTTCATATGATGCGCCAATGGAGATTTTTTGGATGATATTGGGATGTTGTGCAGCTATTTCTTCCATCCAGGAATATATCTAAAGTAACAAAACCATTTTGTTAGCAATTATTTTTTCAATTGATGGGTCTTTTATCTTTTTTTTATTATAACAGTCATATTCCAGATTTGTTACCCTTTGAAACTCTAGGTGGCATACATGTGATCACCAAAATATCTTTCTTCAAAATACAGATCAGATCCAAGACTATCTTACTTTTGGAAATGTGGATACAACATGAGCCCGGGACCATTCCCTGGGAACACAAATTCAAATTTTCATATTGTGATAAACAATAACCTTGGAGCAGGGAACGATTATAGTATGTAACACAATTTTTTGTTCCTGGATTATAAATATCATTTCCAAATTGGTTCTATCATAAAAACATGGAAAAATGTTATTAAACTACATTTTGCAGGACATCCTGCAGCACATTTTGCTATAGTTTTTCAATAAATATTTCATGGAGTCTCAACCAATTCAACCTAGTCTGTGGCAGCCACAAAAATTAAGTTTCTGGAGTATAACAACTATTTTCAAAGTAAGTACCTCATAATTAAACAGGAATAACACTTTCAAATCAGGAACAGATTTTTGTTTTTCAAATTTTGTTACATAGTGTTACGTTACAGTGCTTATTATTCAGGGCACCAATCAGGACTTTATTGTATTAGGTCTTTGTTTGTAGCTCATTACCTTATACGTTATTGATGCACAATGCATTATTGATGTATTGGTTTAATATTTTTCAGTATCTGTTTTCAGAGCTCTTGAACCCCTCCCTCCAAATGGTTCTCGCAAGACTTATCAGAGCTGACTGCTCCAAAACCGACCTTACCTTCCTCCGTGTTAACCTGTAATCCAAGCTGCACCGGAAACGCATAGCTTCCCTTCACAAGCTAAACAGCATTCTGGGAATCTTCCTGGAAGCATTATTGGAATTAACAGAGTGCCTTAGTCGCTAAAGTGACATAGGAACAGGGCACAACTGGAGATACCCCCGTTTTCTTATTACAATTCTAATCTTTGTGTTTGATTCTCTTCAAATTATAAATTATAAATTTATGCAATCCAGTGGGGGTTGGGACTTCTCTTGACAGACGGATAGAGAACCTACTACAAGTTTTAACCCTGGTGTACAGAAGTGATTATAATAATAGGATTATAACTGTATTTATGTTTGCATTGGTTGCCCTAAGGCTGGAGCGGCCTAGCTGTGAGGAGTATGTTACCATGGAAACGATGCTGCAGAGGAGTGGGAGGAGCTTAGAGAAGGGTGTTTTTGAAAAGCGACAGTGAAGAGTCAGTCAGGTTGGAGACTCTGAGAAGGGAAGAGTCAGGAGAGAGACTCTGAGAAGGGAAGAGTCAGGAGAGAAACAGTGTTCGTGAATAGTCAGAGATTTCTTCAGTTAGGAAAGCTGAAGAGGAAAACCTTATTAGTTTCTTTAGTTAGAAAGAACTAACAAAGGCGTGTTTAGATCCCTGGTTAAAAGAACTAGAGATCTGGTGTTTGATCATAGAAGAATCAAACGGGGAGACTATTCACCACAGTAAAACATTGTTTATTGAAGTGCTTCACCACAGCAAGAGTTTCATAAGTTGTAACATCGAAAGTCTGAACTGTATCACAACCAAGTTACATGTATCGTTCTCTAAGTATTTGCCAAGCTTAACATCAAACTGCAACCATACGCTTTGTTTCAAATAAACTTGTTCTCTTTGGTTTTTAAAACTGCCTCACCTCCATTTATTCTACGCTCGGTGTACCCAATCTATCATAATTACCTCACAACACAAATAGGGTGGCATCCAGTGGTATTAATACAAGAGCCTTTTACAATTTGGTGCCGGCTTGTAGGGACTCCTTTGCACCTGGTCTTAAAGGAGCTCACAAAGGCGCTTGAACTTGGTCCTCACTAGGTTCAGCACCTGGGAGAGCTCCTTTAAATATAGCCCTAACCTGGAAGGGATTCACACACACACACACACACACACAGACATGTGGGCTACTAGCCACCATTGATGTTATCCAAGTTCTTAAATGATATACAACATAAAATGGGTCATTAAAAGAGCAGTGGTTATTTCTTGGAAACTAGATCACTCATAGAATGACAGACCCATCAAGTTGGAAGAGGCCACAAGGACCATCCTGACAGATAAGAAGACATTCAAAGCAAAGCTTACCCTCAAGAATTGATGTCTGCTGTATCAGGTTATGTGTTTGGTTTTCCTGCAGTTTCATCCCATGCCCTAGTTCATGAGCTACAACTTGCACTATCCTATTACCTTGTTCCTGTTTACAGTTGGCTATGTTTTACTACAGTTCTCTCCATTGGTTATTGGGCATTGATTTCAGCTTAAATTATTGTTTTAGATGCTATTGGTTTTATTTTTTCAGGGCAGGGTGGAAGATTAAAATGAATAATAGCCACATCTTACCACTTTTAGAGAATGGTACTGTTCATAAAATGATGCAGAACTACGGGGAGAGACAGTGTCATTGGCAGTTTGGGTCTCAATAATTTTGTGAACATCCTCCAGCGATACTCTGAAAAAGAAAAGAAAATCATTTAGAACTCAATCACAATAGCTAATATTTGTTAAAGCTTTAAAAGTGTACTACAGGAAATAATCATACCTGTAAAGGATGCCAGATCTGTTAAGTGCAGCTTTCACATCATCTACATCAGACATGTTGACGTAGAAATGTACCTCTTTGTTTTTCATTATGTTTCTAGGTGAGTCAGGTTGCCAAAGCACAACCTATTACATTTTAAAAAATACAAATAACATTAAAATAAAACTGGGTTCATTTATTTATTTGTTGGATTCATACCCTGACTTTCTTACAACAAATATCTCACACGGTGACAAAAGCAAACAATGATAAAATCAAATAAGACAAATTAATCATCAGGATATTGTGGGAGATGAAGTCCAAAACACCTGGAGGGCCGAAGTTTGCCCATACCTGGGATAGATGAATCATTATTGGCTCCTCTCTCAAAATTACATTTTTTAACATTGTTGTTGTTGTTCATTCGTTCAGTCGTCTCCAACTCTTCGTGACCTCATGGACCAGCCTACGCCAGAGCTCCCTGTCGGCCATTACCACCCCCAGCTCCCTCAAGGTCAGTCCAGTCACTTCAAGGATGCCATCCATCCATCTTGCCCTTGGTCGGCCCCTCTTCCTTTTGCCTTCCACTTTCCCCAGCATAATTGTCTTCTCTAGGCTTTCCTGTCTCCTCATGATGTGGCCAAAGTACTTCAACTTTGTCTCTAGTATCTTTCCCTCCAGTGAGCAGTCGGGCTTTATTTCCTGGAGGATGGACTGGTTGGATCTTCTCGCAGTCCAAGGCACTCTCAGCACTTTCCTCCAACACCACAGCTCAATAGCATCGATCTTCCTTCGCTCAGCCTTCCCTAAGGTCCAGCTCTCACATCCGTAGGTTACTACAGGAAATACCATGGCTTTGACTAGGCGGATCTTTGTTGCCAGTCTGATGTCTCTACTCTTCACTATTTTATCGAGACTGGACATTGCTCTCCTCCCAAGAAGTAAGCGTCTTAACTGTGCTCATAAGATAGGGAGTGAAAGACATTTCATCTCAATAATTTAAAACAATGGCCAGAATTCATAAATGCAGTTACAAAGTGAAACTGTGTGTTATGCTTTTGTGAGTGTTTCATATTCAAAGTCCCCACATATTCTCTAGCTTGGGAGTTATGGGGACCAACAAAAAACCCTTATCTTCACTTATTGGGCAGAAGCGATCAATGGGATTGGTTAACTAGGAAGCAGTGAACTGATTCTGTTACTCTCCATCATGTGAGTGATAACCAAAGCAAGGTGACTTGTGGCAGGGATTGGTCTTCTGCCTGTCTCACCAGAGATTGCTCACAGGAGGGGATGGGAGTTCCTTATCAGTGGGGAACAGACCCTTGATACTTGCAGCAGCTACTGTCTGAGAGGTGGAGATTTGGAGGACCGGAGAAGAAGAACACTAAGAAACTACAGTGGTTAGGGTTATTTGTAAATGCCGCATGAATTTCAATCAATTCTGGGCACCACAATTTAAGGGAGATGTTGACAAGTTGGAATGTATCCAGAGAAAGGCAACTAAAATGATCAAGGGTCTGGAGAACAATCCCTATGAGGAGCAGCTTAAAGAGCTGAGCATGTTTAGCCTGCAGAAGAGAAGGCTGAGAGGAGACATGATGAGGGCCATGTATAAGTATGTGAGAGGAAGTCATAGAGAGCAAGGTTGTTTTCTGCTGCCCTGGAGACTAGGGCGTGGAACAATGGCTTCAAACTACAGGAAAGGAGATTCCACCTGAATATTGGTAAAAGCTTCATGATTGGGAGAGCTGTTCAGCAGTGGAACTCTCTGCCCCAAACTGTGGTGGAGCCTCCTTCTTTGGAGGCTTTTGACAGAGGCTGAATGGCCATCTGTTAGGAGTGCTTTGAATGCATTTTTCCTGCCTCTTGGCAGGGGGTTGGATTGGATGGCCCTCGAGATGTCTTCCAACTCTATGATTCTATATGATCCCCCAAATTTCAGCTTCCTGAGTTCTTAAACTGGCAAAAGCGACTGGGATCCTAATTGACCCAACAAATGTATTGATGTTGTGTGGATTACAATTTGGGTTAAATAAACACAAAGTAATTTTTGTGTGAGTATCACACTACGCCCCTGAAGACCAGGGTTCAAATTACTCCTTAGCCTTGGAAACCTAATAGACGAATCTGGGTAAGTCACAATATCTCACCCTCACAAGAAGACAATGGCAAACCTCCTCTAAACTTATTGTCACCATAAGTTGGAAACGACATGAAGGCACATAACAACAGCAACAACAAGGAACATCAATTATTTCACAAATAAAGTAATATTTGTTCCCACTGATATATTTGCTCTGGAAACATACCTGAGTTATCGTATGCTAAGTTACCCTATAAAAATAGCTTGGAGAGGGCACTAGAATTACGCACCACACTTAAAATCCAAGCCCTGTTACAGGTTGAGTATATCTTATTCAAAATGCTTGTGACCAGAAGTGTTTTGAAATTTGCATATAGTTTTTTGATTTTGTATTACTGGTACCTGTATTTGCATATACATACATAATAGGAAATATCTTGGAGCTAGGACCCAGATCTAAACACAAAATTCATTTGTGTTTCTTATACACCTTATGCACATAGCATTGTAATTGTATGCAATGTTTTACATAATTTTGTTCATGAAACAAAGTTTATGTATATTGAAAACAAAGGTGTTACTATCTCAGTTAGCCACCAGGACAATTTCAGATTTTGAAGCAATTTGGATTTTGGTGTTCTGGATAGGAAATGCTCAGCCTGTGTTTGCATAGCATTTGAGAAGGTTACAATTGCAGTTGTTTGCTAGAAGTGGTTACCTGGAAAGAAGTGGTCAAATTCTGGAGAATTTCAACTTGCCTACTAGAATGTGGAAGGGCCCACAGTACCTGGTCACTGGAAAAGAGAGGCGAGTTAGAAGAAGGAATAGTTGATAGAACAATCCCATTTTGCTACTAAAAGCATTCAATGAAAAAAACCACAGAGATTATTATTCTGAATGGTGGAATGGACATCTAGAGTTTTGGTATTCTTTGCAACCGGATATGCTGAGGGAGTTTCTCATCCCAAACCATGAGAAGGTTTATTTAGCATGTCAGAAGCGAATTGACAGTACAGTTGTAATGTATTTAAAGACACAAACAAAGTTTAAGAACTTGGCTTCATACTAAATGTCCTTTGACCAGTAGCTGGCCACTTGGAGTGCCTCTGGTGTCACTGTGAGAAGGTCCTCCATTGTGCATTTGGCAGGGCTCTGACTGCATTGTAGTAAGTGGTCTGTGGTTTGCTCTTCTCCACACTCCTATGTTGTGGACTCCACTTTGTAGCCCCATTTCTTAAAGTTGGCTCTATTTACAGTATTTATATTCCGCCCTTCTCACCTCGCAGGGGACTCAAGGCGGATTACAATGCACATATACATGGCAAACATTCAATGCCATTTAGACATGCAACATACATAGACAGACACAGAGGCATTTAACATTCCAGCTTTTCCGACTTCATGAGGCTCTGCATCTCTTGGTGCCAGAACACAGTCTGTTCAGCACCTTCCAAGTCACCCAGTCTTCTGTGTGCCCAGGAGGGAGTTTTTAATTTGTTCTCAGCCACTGGTTGAGGTTCTGGGTTTTAGCCTGCCACTTTTGGACTCTCACTTGCTGAGGTGTTCCTGTGAGTATCTCTGTAGATCTTAGGAAGCTGTTTCTTGATTTAAGACATTGGCGTGCTGGTTGATATCCAAACAGAGAGCGGAGATGTCATTGCCTTGGTGCTTTCATTATTGGCTGTTACTTCCTGATGGATGTCAGGTGGTATAATATTGACTAAACAGTATAATTTCTCCAGTGATGTTGGGCATAAACAACCTGTGATAATTTAGCATGTCTCATTAAGAGCTACATCCACTGTTTCAATATGGTGAGATGCGTATACAGCAGCAGAGTGCCAAAGGGCAAGGGCCGATGTCTTCACTGTGTCTGGTTGTGATCCCCAGGTTGTGCCAGTTAGCTTTTGTATGGCATTATTTCTACCACCCAGTTTTTGCTTGGTATTCAGGCCGTGCTTCTTGTAAGTCAGAGCACGGTCCGGAGTAAGTTCCAGGTATTTTAGTGCACTGCAATGCTGCAGTGGGATTCCTTCCCAGGTAATGAGATGTTGAAGATGTTGCAATTAATAGAAATGGATAAATTAACAGCTTTGCCGAAGGATGGGACATTAGATACATTCTCAAAATTAATTGAATGAATTGAGTACAGAATATAAGAGTATTGAAGGTATTGATGTATTGATGTATTCTAAGAAAACCAATAAAAATAGATTTTTTAAAAATAGATACATTGTCAATATTTATGTGAGAGAGACTAAAAACATGATGGGCAGGTTTAGAGATATAAGTTGATGGAATTACAATGGCATAAAATAGAAAAAGACAAGTAGCGGTAAATAATTTATTGTGTCGTAGGTGGAATAATAAGGTAAATTATATGGAGACCAATGATAGGAAAGCAGGAATTTATTTAAAATGATTTATGTGTGTATGTTTGCATTAGTGTTTCTCTTTGTTTAAACAAGCATGCTTATTCTCTCTCTTGTAAATCGAGCCTCTCCTTATCTCACCGGAAGTAATCACAACTACCCTGTTATTGGGCAATTATTGCAAAACACAATTCTATACCAGGAAGAAGAGGCCTAAAACAGAAGGTGATGCAATCTTAAAGGTACCAGATTTACAATAAAATTTACTTACTTGAGTGTTAAATCGTCTGAAGTAAGTTTATGCAGTTACGAACTAAGTAACTCCTAGTGAACTGAATGGAATTTAACTTTGAACTAACCATGTACTGGACTGCACTGCAATCCTAGAAGACTAAAATTTTCGAATGCAGAAAGTTGTGGATCGCTCAATCTATATTCATAGCATACATTTTCCCTAAGTATTCTGCAAGATTTCATATCTGGGTGTTTTTATTTTTGAAGTCTGCCAATGACCTGTCAACATATTGTTCTCAAACTGAATGTTAGAAAGCACCAAAAACATTAACTATTTGCTTTCTCTCATATGCATTTATGTTTCTTTTTTTCTTAGTATAGATGCCATTATTTTAGTACATCCCTGTGAAGTTTTTCCCCCCATTATGGTACAATAGAGTCTCACTTATCCAACATAAACAGGCCAGCAGAACGTTGGATAAGGAAAAATATTGGATAATAAGGAGGGATTAAGGCAAAGCCTATTAAACGTCAAATTACGTTATGATTTTACAAATTAAGCATCAAAAGATCATGTTTTGCAACAAATTTACAGAAAAAGTAGTTCAATACACTGTAACATTAAGTAGTAATTACTGTATTTACAAATTTAGCACCAAAACATTGCAATGTATTGAAACAGCTGTGGATCTGTGCGGGAGGCGGATTGCATTGGATAATACAGAACGTTGGATGAGCAAAGGTTGGATAAGCGAGACTCTACTGTAAATTGAGTTCTGTATTTACTCACATCAGCATGAGCAGGACTCTCTTCAAAAGGCTTAAGTACAGGATTGGCCCGTTAATTTCAAGGTGCCACATATTGGTAGGAACCCAGCTGCTTTGTGATTTGAAATACTTGTTGTTAGGAATAATATCTCAGAATAAGGGTTTTCCCAATATACATTCAGCAACATATTCTACACAGCTATACATTCTGCTTTAAAAGCATTGGAGTTAATTTGTTATAATGCACGTGTTCAGTCATTCCGGATTATGATTTTACTCTCTGCAGATATTTCCCACCTTTCACAAGAAAAATAAATACATACCTTTGGAGAGATGAGACACACTTCATTTGACAGATGACAAATGCTATGCCAAATAAAAGGAAGACCTTCATAGCAGCCATTTCTGATGAAACCAAGTAAAGCAGTGAAGGTTCAGGACCTACATTGTTGATTTTCTAAAGTCTCTGTTGAAAGAGTGGTTAAAATTTAATGCACTTTGTCATTCTGTGGCAAAGACAGAATGATTCCACTGAATTCCCAAAATGTGAAGTCTACCTTCACATGGAGTTTAAACAGCCACAAAGGTAAACACATTTCTCTGTTACCCCACTGAATAGGGATCATCCCTCATTTGACTGAGTCATAAAGCAAAATGGCCTTTCTTCACATGGGATACTTTGTCCAGTTACAGGTAACACAGTTTAAGAAGGATACTGACAAGCTGGGACATCTTCAAAGGAGAGCAACTACAATAGTAAAAGGTAAAAAAACCAAGACCTACGAGAACTGGTTGTGCTTAGTTTGGAGAAGACAGAGAGATAATAAGATAGCTATTTCTAAATACCTTCGTGATGTAGAGATGGAACAAGCTTGTTTCTGTTGCTCCAGCAATGAGGGCCGTAATTCAATAAGGGAGCTGTATTTTAATATTAACTGTTATTTTAAAAATCAATACCATTGAAATGGATAAAAATACAAACAAGATCTTTTTCTATCTCATGACTGTAGCCAGAATAACCCTGGCACAATTATGGAAACATCAAAATGGAAAAATTGATTTTGAAAGTGATGGGCATCATGAATATTGACCTCCTCACCCAAAACTTGCACAGAATAACTTACAAAATCGGGGAAAAGACTGGGGAAAATGTAAGGACTTCTTTAAAAAGGAAAACACAGGAATTTATATAATAAGGAATTAAAAGAAACTCAAGGACCTAGGAAAAATAAGAAACTGACGCCACAAGAGGCCAAAAGAACGATGAACAGAAATGGTTTTTCAGCAAGGTTGAACCTGGAAGCAAACTCCCTATGTAACTTAAACTTAAACTTATTCTTTTTTTCTCCTTTTCCTTTCTTTATTTTCCCATTTTTCCTACTTTCTCTGAATACACTGTTCCCCCACTTTCAATGTAACCCTCTTTAATTTATCATACACACACACACACACACACACACACAATTTTTTGCCTAATTTGCAATAAAATAATTTAAAAAATTAATACCATTGATGTTTAATTGTATTTTAATGTTTGTATATTTTTGAATTTTAAATTGTAGTGAAATGGTTTTAATATAAGACACTTTGATTCTCCTTTGTGGAGAAAAAAATCGAGGTATAAATAAACATAATCATCATAATCATTATCAACATTGTCGTCATAATTTAATGACAGGGCAGATCTCCCAAAAGTCAACACCTTCAAGTATCTCAGATTGATGATAACTTCAGATGGCAACCTTTTTGATGAAGTCACCACACAGATTAACATGCCTTGGATGAAATGGCACTCGGTAGCAGGTGTACTCTGCAACAAGAAGATGCCCGATCACCTGAAATCAAAAATCTCTTGAACTGTCGTTAAAGTCTGCCACAATATATGGAGCCAAATGTTGGCCAGTAACAAAGGAAGCAGAATGCCCCCTTGGTGTTATGGAGATGAGGATGCTATAGCTTACAGCTGGTGTCACACGCCTTGACCACACCTGCAACTATGCCAAAGGCAACACTTTGCTCCAATTGCTGGAAAACTATGAGAATCATGCCTCAGAAGGTATAGTCATACTCTCCAAGGTGAAGATGAGTCCATTCACAAGATTGTTTTTGATTTAGAAGTACCCAGCAAGAGACCAAAGGGATGACCAAAGCAATGCTGGCTGGACATGTTGCACAATGAACTGAAGACTGCTGGCATACATCCTGATCAGGCGCACGACTGGATGAAATGGCACCAACAAACCAGTAAAACAGAGCCCCACCGTCAAGCAGGACAAACACTAAAGGAGGAGGAGGAGGAGGAGGAGATTGTCATAATTTTGTAAACAGATTTATGTGTGTGGGAAATAGAGTTGAGCAATTTTACAATGTCCATACTCAGCAAGGGGCTGCCATGACATATGGGGAGGCAATGAAGTTGCTGTTGTGCAATTAAATTGATGCACAAGACAAATGCACAATTGCACTGATACATGATTAGTCCGATAAGCATTGAAACAGTGGCTAAAAAGTCCTGCTACAGATAGGTAGAGCCTTAAGTGCAGCAGGAGACCCTTGCCTGTGCTCGGATGAGAGCCTACTATTCACTAGAAGGCTTCCTTAGTGCCTGTGCTACTTAGCTAAGTATGACCAAAGTTACATAATTGTTGACTAAAATCTTAGAGTCATTTCCCAGCAAGCCAGTTTCAGTGTGTCCCAATACAGACACACAGAAATGAAGGCGGAATTAGAGGTTTATTGTTTTGTGGATGAAAGAAGGATTCAAAAGTTTTCATGGCTGGAATGACTGGGTGTGAGGCTGTATGGCCATGTTCCAGAAGTATGGAACATACTTGAGGAGGGCCTGTATATTGGCATTCTGATTTGAGATTTAGCCTGGCTGCTTGGCTGATGAGGACATTCTGGTAACTTGAGTCCATTGTGTGGAGGTGGGGAATAAGGAAAAGTTGACAGCACCATTTGGCAGGGAGTGCTTTCCTGCTTCTGAAGCCAAGCAGGGTAACTAGAGATTATTTACCTCCACTTTTTGGGGTCTCAGTTTCAGATAACACAATGAAGACTGTGATATGCAACTGCAACCTAGGGCATGAATATAATTTTGAACTACAAGAAAGAGGATGCAAATAAACATGAGGAAGAATTTCTGACTGTTAAAACTGTTGCATAGTGAATTAAGCTGCCTTGGAATATGGTGGACTCTCCTTCTTTGGAGGTCTTTAAACCAGGATTGGATGGGCATTGCTTGGGAACACTTTAGTTGTGTATTACTGCTAAGTGGGTATTCTAACACTGTTCTCCAGAACTTTAGTCCAATGTTCAAATGACTGCACTAGGCGTTTCCTCATATAGGTGCTTTGAAAATGGATTTTGTTTCTTCATTAGGAAAAACTGAGGAGTTCTATATACCCTTGCCTTTTGATAGATATCATTCTTCCAGATTAAGTTATTTTAGGTTAATTTCTTACCCGACATTGACTTTTTAGTGGATATTTTCAGTCTTTCCAAGATTCAAAAGCTTTTGATGCAAATCTAAGGGCCATCTAGTCCCACCCTCTGCCGGTGAGCAGTCTACAGCTAAAGGGAGGGAGCCATGGTAGCTTTGTTTAGAAACGTGCAATGAAGAAGAGTCCATAACCTTCTGTGGTAGTCTATTTGACTGTTGAATAGCTTTTTCCTTTAGGAATTCTGCCCAGAATTTAGTTGAAATCCTCTTTCTTCTAACTTGAATGCTTTGTTTTGAGTCTTGTCTTTTGGAGGGAGAGAAAACAAGTTTGCTTCATCTTCATCTTGTCAGCTCTTCAGATATTTAAAGGTGGCTATCATATTGACTATGTGCGAAAGGTATATACACACACACATATGAAGAGAGAGAGAAAAATATACAGTTGACTGGGAAGTATACAAGGAAAGGCTATGGCATTGAGGAGTGCTAAAACCATAGCCATACTGGATCTGTGGACAATGTTAAATCCCACCTGCTACACATATACATATTTTTTCTTGAGCTTGGAAACTTACATTACAAAAAGTAATCAAATTCATCACAGCATCCCAAACTAGGAGTTTTTAATACTAGACAATTATGGTATTTATCTTCTTAAGCTCCGCAGTCAGTCCCTTAACCACCAATGGTCAGAACTCATTTTGGGACTTCTGTCTTCAGAAAAAACAAGTGAGCTATTCTGCAATGTACATATTTAGCATATTATGCTACAAAGCAAGAGAGCCAGCTAAGTCACAATTGCTCATTGGGTCAGATGCAGAATGTGGCTGGCGTTCCTCAGGATACTGGACACCAGCTATGGAGTGCTGACATGCATTAGTAAATGTTAGAGTGAATCAGGGCACTTGCATCTTTGCAATTCACTAACAGCACTTCCGTTACATAGCTTAGAGTCCATGACAGAGAATTTTGGTCATTGTCTACTTTTTTGTATGCATTTCTAGCAGACTTTAAGACAGATATATTGGCTCAGTCGTTCCTAGCATTCTTTCCTGTGTATAGCTTACCAACTAGCTTACCTTAAGTATGTAGTCCTTTGTGGCAAAATTATTTCCTCCACCATTTAAAAAAGATTCAATATAGCAACCAGTTACGAGAAACTTGATGTGCTGTAACCTTCTAGTTTTTCCTCTTTAGTGCCTTGTAGGGGCAGTACAAGCTCAGCCAAAAGAAAACGATAATCAGTGTTTGTTGTTTGAGGCAGTTATATATTTTCCTTGTGTGGTCAAACAGGAACAGCCAAGCTGCAGCACTTCTAACCGGTATTCAGCCCTATTGACATGGCTATGACATTTAACCTTTGACACTGTCATAGTGTGCTTCATGGAAACTGGGAGTACGAACTACCAGGAGTATTCTGAGATTCTCTCAAGACCATTTCACACTGCACTATTATAATGCTGTTAAGTGATTTCAGCATCCATAAGAACCATGGGTTTGGGGGTCCAGTGTATCTAGCTTCCCAGAAGGCTGAATGAGACGCTGATGGGTTGAAGGCAAAATAAGAGGTTTATTTTCAACAGCCAAAGAGGATGTTAGTGGAGAAAGAACTCCAAAGAACTGACATATTGCACTCATGTAAACAGAGCATAATTATGACACTTTGACAATTATTCAGGACTCCCTTGCTAGCTCCTAATTGGCTCAGAAAGCATCTGGCTAGGATTCACTCTGTAATTTGTCCAGGATTCCCTTAGACATCATCACTGGTTTGTTTTAGCTATTGAGGGAAACTTTAATAAATTGCCGAAAGGGGCATGATAGAAAAGAAATGCAGATTTGCCATCAATAATGGGCTTAATGTCCTTGCTTTGATAGGTACAATGAAGTTAGTCCAAAAAAAGGGGGGGGTGCTTTAGGGGGATTACCATCACAACGGGTGCTGCAAGGGTTTGCCTGGCTGAAGGCATGGAAGAGGGAAACATTCCCGGGTCATTTCAGATGGAGGCAGGAAAGGGAACCTTGGACTCTGACCAAATGTATTGTGAGTCTTCCAGTTTACTT